TAAGCAAAGAGCTCAGCTTCTGAGGCAGGGGTTGTTGTGAGGAAATGCCAAGCAACCGCCTAGATTCCAACAGCATTGGCATCTCAATAGAAAGGCCAGTAGAGCTCCTTTGAGAGGAAGTCCTAGATTTTGAAGGGGGATTTCTCAACAGGAAAGGATTCCACGGGAGCAGGACTCTTGTCCTAAGAAGCACTTTTCCAGAGGGCCTATAAAAAACCTCAGCTGAGCCATGGGTGAAACTCAGGGAGCTTGCACTATATAAGCCTTAAGTTTCAGCCTAGCTATTACAAGAACAACATGATTTGGGATGTCTTGTGGCTGAACCTGTGTGCTACTGACCCTTGGGTTCTTCCCTGACTCTGTCTCTTGGCCTGGATATTACATATGACCATTTTCTGTTTAACTTTGGCTGTGCCTTTCTTCTGGAAACAAACTACTTGCCTAGTAATACTGTACTTTGGCTATTTGACGGTTTAACTGACTCACCTACTGGACTCATTCTAGTGTTTACCTAGCATAGAGACTTACTCAAATGTAGCAGAAGAAATAAGACAGGTTGCGGGGTACCAAGAAAAGTATCTGGCGGCACACTGGTGCCTGTGGATACAGGCTCCAATGTACTGGATAGTACACCAGCTATTATGGTAAAATACATGAGCAGGGAATGTCATTGTTCCTGTATATCCAGCACCTGATCTAGCCTTCTCACTACTCCAAAGTTATCGATAATCAAGGCCTGAAGAATTAAAATGACACATAACCCATTAAAAATTATCCTATTGATCTACCCAAAAGAGAGCATAAAGTGCAATATGGCACAAAGACCACTTGAAAAGAAATAATCCAGACTCTTTAATATGGAGAATGTATTTGATTGCCTGCTTGCTGAAATCAATCTTTCATTTCATTTTAGTGAGTCCTGAAGCAGGTCCTAATTGCCCAAACATAATACTACTCAAAGTTTTGTTCCCAAGGCTTCAATAAAGACACCACTTCTGATTTTGGGTGAAGCTGCAATTCTAATAAGAAAGTAAAACATTCTGCTGCTTGAAACACAGGATGATATGGGTCCCCATTCCATGTAGAGATTATAAATGAACTGGTAGCTGATAGCATAATATTCATCATCAGGCAGCAGAATAGATGAGGGCTTCAGGCAGGCCATATGGAGCAGAACACCTATGAAGTGCAGGAAGAATACCCCGGGGGTTGCTGCCACTAACCTCAGCATCTGCTAGGTGAAGCGGTTGTCCCAGTATGCCTAAGGGTAGGGCTGGCCCTGCTTATTAGGCTTACTCAGAAACAGTTGCTTATTTAAAAATCAGGATGAAAGTATAAGAGAACTGGAATGGAAGATATGTCTAATAAATTAAGAGACACCGGCATGGACAAATCCAGTGGAAAACAAATTGCATGGTGGATTCATCAGGGCCACTTGGCTTATCTAAAGCCAAGGTGTTATTGCCTTGAATAAATGTGACAAAGGCTTCACAGAGGATAAGATAATCAATGGGCACTAGTCATGATGGATGTAACTACTTGCAGTGTCAGAAGCGGTGTATCTGTGTATACCAGTTGAGTGGGAGCTGTCGTAGCATTCATGTCCTGCTGTAGGCATCCCATAAGCATCTGACTGGCCAGTGTGCAAACAGAATGCTGAAACAGATAGACCTCTGGCCTGATTCAGCATGGCTCTTCTCATCTCCTTGTTATCTTCCCAGTTTTCCTCTCCGCAGCAAACTCATCTGGCAACTGTTGCCAGTGCAAACTGTTATAAATAAGTTGTGTTACCAATATGGGCGTATGGAGTTATTTTCCACTGAGTCAGATTAGTCCTTCTAGCCCAGCACTGCCTACTTTAACTGACAGCTGCCCAAGAGTCTTCAGCGGAGGTCGGTCTTGCCACTTGCTACTTAACTCATTAAATGGTGATGCGGGGAATTTAGCATGGAAGCATCTCTGCACAACTAACTGAAATCCTTATAGTGTTCTGTGGTAGATTTCAGCATACGAGCATCTGCTGTGATGTGACGCAGTATATATGCAGAATTAGGCATACAAATGACATAATAACAATGCCTCCTTCTGCTGAATGAAGGAGAAGGAGAATGGCTTTCTGGGATGTTGTCCTTTCACCTTTGCTACACACTTGCTTCCTATCTTGAGCTGTGGAGTGGTAATGGAGATAATTAAGAGAAACCTCTGTTTTAATTCTTCTATATAAAGGGCATCTTGTTTTATTTCATTGAGACAGTTTGCTCTTATTATCTCAATGAATTAAAGGACCACTGAAGATTTGTTATTGTTTTACGCAGTGATCACAAACCCAGCCAGTTGCTGGACTCCGATATTTTCACAGGCACATAAATTATTCCCAGAACATCCCATTTGCAGGTTTTATTTTGCTATAAATTTGAGTTTAAAATTAAGTTGCACATTTCTGGTAAAACAAAGTGATAAAACTTAATGATCACTGAAACTTAAGTGAAACTGTCTTTTACTAGGTTCAGCTCTCTGTCCTCCTGAGATCCTACATGCAGTAAATTGAGAACTGCTTGCCTAATTGGCTGAAGGACACTGCTTACCGTTTGGCAGGATGGCAAACCCTAAAGATTACAACACGAAGCTAATTTTATCCTGTCCACAATCACTGAAAGCAGAGACCCATTAGGGCATCCAGTCAACCTTTTAGACAACATAGGATTGTTCTCTGCAAGGATACCTCCCCTTAACTTCTGCTCAGCTCTGGTTTCAAATGATAATTAATGGGAATTTATTTTTCAAGAAACTCAAGATGTAGTCACTAAGTATTTCCTCCCCTTGGTTGCAATTTAATTTTTCTTGGAGACTGATGTGGAGGGGGGAGAACATAGTATGCCTCCACTGCAGCTGCGTGGCAACCAAGAGGGAGGCATCCTATGTTACAAGGCATCAGCAAAGGAAGTTGGGTCAGCACTGCAGAAGCGCATGACCAACTAGTCATGCCACTGCCTGTACTGACAGGACAAGTGCCTGCTCAGTCCTGTCCCAGCTGACTCTTTCCCTTCAGCCCTGTACTAGTAAAGGCATGTTAAAGAGCAGAACTCTCCTCCACTTCTCCTATTTAGTTTGGTTTAAGCACATTGTGGAGTTAAATCGCTTACAGGGTTAAATTTTGTGTGTTCGTTCGTTTGTTTGTTAAAGGATGAACAGTTTTAAACTCAGAAATTAGTTACAGTAAAGTGGTCCAGTAATTAAGCTCAGGATTGGATTATAAAGAGACAAGATTCTTCCTGAGAATCTCCCTTCTAGATTATGCTACAAGAAAGTACTTCCTGTTATCTCCTAGACATCACATGCTCATATGTAGAGGCACAATATATAATTGTTCTTTCAGTGGTGGGCCGTACCCAATTGTAGGTTGATCACACAAGTGCTGTCATCGCCATTTTCTTCCTTCAAGTTTCTTTTTTTTAGAAAATCAGAAAGTGGAGAGAATGACAATATTTACAATTACACAGTACTCTTGAGTATTCAAAGTGTGCCTGATGGACTTGAGAGCTCTAAGCCAAGCTGGTAAAATCAGGTTTGTATATTTTTAAATTAAAAATGTGTGGACAAATGTGTATAATATACATACAATGTGAATATTTGACATAAAACACAGCCACACTTTGTGCAAAATGCAACTACAATTTGTGCAAAGTTATGACCATATTTTAAGCAGATATAAGCTGTATTTTGCACAAATTTCTCTACTTTAAAAATGCAAGTCACAGCCTGCTGGGTAGAATGCTGGAATTGGGGCACTGAGCCAGCGCAGTCTGCAAGATTCTAATCTCCAGAATTGGATTTCTTGCACAGTCTTACTTCACATATAGTATCTTGTTACCTTCTCTATAACAACCTTTTATGATAGGTCCATATGAAATATTATACCCATATAGACAATTCTGATAGCCTAACTTTTAACTTTTGCAGGTCAAATGTATATTTTCATAATTATGACTATTCAGAATACTCTGTTTCACAAGGATGAGGATCTAAGGTTTGTCCAATAGGTGCTCATCCATATTAGCAAATGAAATAGATAGATGTGCCCAGCAGAACAAACAAAAAGGGAGTAGCTTAGGGTATGTAGATATCTCAAGAATGAAAAGTCTGAAAATGCTAAAAGGAAGACAGTATTTTTCAGGGCCAGGGGGAGCAGGGAGTTGGTTGGAATCCCTTTACATAGACTATTTGTAAAGGCATAGAAATATGCATAGTTTTCAGCAACATATAGCCCTGATAAATCTCATGGGCATTCTTCAATAATGTATTTAGATACTCCTATAGCATGATTAGGTTTTTTTTTTTTTAAGAAGTGGGTTAAAAAAGTGTTTTCTATTTGGTTCTCAGTACCTTCCACATATGAATATGCATAATCAACACAAAGAAACCAATATAAAATATGATCTTCTAAAACAGAAACACTAAGTACAGCTTTGGTTGTGTGGGGAAAGACATCTTTTTGCTGATCGGCTGGATCTGCTATCCACAGGCCATGGGAAGAGTTTCAGTTGTGGTTACAAAGTGTGTAGATCAGAGAAACAGCAAACTGTAAAAACACATGGGAAAATACTACAAGCTGGTTAGGTTGGCTGTATTATCAAATTACTGCCTGGCAACTGGCAACAAACACCCACCCCATCTAACTGCTGATCCATCATTGTCAAAACGTGTTTGGTTCATGAAAGAGACTATTCTGAATAGTTAATAATTATGAAAACATACAGTTGACCTCAGAAGGTTAAAAAGCAGGATACTGGGACTGACTTAGAATGAAACTCTCTAGGCCAGAACTGTCTCCATCCTGACAGGCTCTTCAGGATTTCATTATAGAGACTTTCTGTCCTTGCTTCATGAGGTATCAGGGATTGAATCTTGGACCATCCGCCTGTAGAAAAAATATTGCATCACTGCGCTACCCTGTTAGTCAGTTATTACAATCTAACCATTCGATCCTCATGAAAAGATACCTGTAAAGCACCTATTTCCTCCTCCTTCCTGAGAGTCTTCTCCAGCAGATCTGCAGAAAAACACAAAACATTTCAAGAACTAGTTAATAGGTGGCTTATGAAAATGAACGGTGAGGCACATGCTACCAAAACAGAATTACCCCCACCAACTAAAAGCAATCAGAAAATCAGCCTTGTGGGTTCACAAGAAGGCAATTCAAAAATAACAGCAATATCAAATTAATTTTGATCCAACACTTTTACCACTCCAAAATAGCCCCAAATAGTTCACTGATAATTTTAAGGAAGAGGTACAATTTGTCATTCATGTGTTCAGCAAGAGAATCTGATTAAGCTGTTTCAGTGACAAATTTATCCAGCCCTCCTTTCTCTACCATCCTAGTCTTGCTCCAGGCCAGTGCAGACTAGTGCACTGTTTCTAGCTGGGAGATTTCTCCCCTATGTATGCCACACTATTTCTATAGATGAACCATCAGTTCATACAGAACCATCAGTGCAGTTCTGTGGCAATGCTGAGCACTTTCTCCTGTCCTTTTAGTACCAGAGCAAACTAAAAATTTTCAGGGCTATCATGGCTGATAGGCATTTAGAAAAGGCAGCACTTGAGAGACAATAAATAGAAGGGAAAGAAGGGAGAAGTGATAAGTAAAACAGGGAGGGCCAAAGACACTCCAAAAATATTTGCATAGCTGATGTAAATACCTCATTCTGGGGTAAAAACAAAAATCGCAAGAGTTATAATTTTCTTTAAAATTACCTGAATTATAGCTAGAAGGCTAAATATAGTTTGTTGAGACTATCTCCTCCTAACCAGGAAGGAGAAGAAAACATTTGGCTTTTGTTTATTTCTATTATTTTTATCCACCAAACCCAGAAGCTATGTAGAAACATATATCTGATCATTAAAATATTGCAGTTTGCAGTACAACCCTCCATGTGATTTGCCAAGTGAGAAGAGAAAATGAAAGAGACTATAGTCCTATGCACATTTACATGGGACTTCTGAGTAGACATGCTTAGAATTGAACTGTAAGTTAGCAAACTTCCAAGTTGGAATACTGCAGAAAACACCTTACAGACTTCAAACAGGAGCTTTCATATGGCCATTGCCTACATCACAAGATGCCCTGGACTAGAACATGGAAGCTTGAGCCAGACTGGAGAGAACCAAATTTGCAAGATGAAATGATCCCAAGGTTACTTACTGGAGCACCAAATATATTAACACTGTTGCTGGTTGTTACTGCCACAGAGTCTGTTACTACTTCTTCTTCGGGTTTATGTAAGATGCCTCCCTTGGTTTCATTCAGTTGTTTCTATTTTCAAATCAACACAGCAGCAGCAGCAGCAGCAAATGTGATGAGATCACCTGTAAACTTCTAAACCAAGTGGGCATGTTCACCCAAGTGATCACCCCTCTAATTGTGGGCGCTAGCAAGCTCATCTGTGCCTAGTCATTGCCAGTGAAATGGATCCAGTCTAAATAAATGAAACACAAGACAAGTCTCTCCTAGGTGAATGTTTCAGGGAACAGGAATCTCTCAAGTAATCTACCTATCAAGGAATCCATAAGCATCTACCACATAAACTATGGGAACTGGGGCATGTTCTACTTTAGGAAAAATGGAGCAGTAGAAGTCTTGAAGGGAAATGGTGTTGGGTCACTTTTTTGATGTATGAACTGAATCCACCATAAGTTGGGATTAAAATGTCCTAAAGCAAGAGTCTCTTTCTTATATGTCTCAAGGAATCTTTTAGCTGCAAGGTGGGCAAGGCAGGGAGAATCAGACAGTGGCAACCTTCCCTTATTTCTTCTTTTGGAAATCCAAGAAGAGTGTTTCTGAAGCTGTGCTACAAACTTGAGGCACCTTGGAAGAGTGTCACAGGTGTCTTAATGAGAAGACTGCAGATAGACATGCAGCCTTGCCCACTACTACAAATATTATTTTGTTCAATGTGCAGGGGCACAGGGTGAGTTCTAGGCAATGTTCTTATTTTATCCCCTTCCTCCAAGGAGCTCAAGGTATTACATATGGTTATCTCCTCTACATTTTATCCTCATGGTAACCCTGTATGGTAGTTTAGGCTGAGAAACAGTGACTGCCCCAAGTCATCTAATGAGCTTCCTGGGTGCTATGTGGAGATATAAACCTGGATTTCCCAAGTCCTGCTCAAACACTCCAAGCACTATACCACAGTGACTTAAAATATGACAAATTATTACAGACAAGCACTATGGGTTGTTGTCATGTGAAGCCAGATAATGTGGGTTATTCCAGGCTTATCAAAATGTTCTTAAGCACTTGCATAACCCACAACAACTGACTCCTCACCACACTACAAGCACCCATTTCAGCATGCATATTCAGAAAAAAGGCTGGCATACACCAACCTCTGGTGCTCATGTGGACCCAGTCACTGATTTTTAAAAAATGTAAGTAAAGCCAGAGTAAGCCACTAATACCCCCCTCCCAACTTTTCAGAATAGCCAGCATTCTCTTATTTTATGTGTTTACAAAAGAAATGGCACTCTACAAAAGGACATGGCCTATATGAATGTAAAGAGACATATTTTAAATCTTTTGTCTATTAGCAGAATACTACAACATACCTTAATCATTAGGGAACTACATGTGTAAATTCCTCACTTCCACCCAGTTGATGGATATAACCAAGATCAAGAGGCTACAATCTTATAATTAAAAGCAAACCAAGCCTTTGAGCCCAAGACTGACCACCAAAAGCTGAAACTCCACATCCATTATTAGTGAACTCATTCACCATTGACCCTTGCAGTGCTTCTGACTGGTACTCAAAACCTGGCTTCCAATCCTTGCTATCTGCTGCTTCAACTACAAGCATCAGGTATTTTCTCAATGAGCCTTTTCAGATGTAATGTTGTCCCCCTAATAATCACTTTAAACAAATTAGGACCAGCTTTGGGAGTGTACATTGCCTTCCATGTCCATGCAACAAATCCTCCTGTCCCCCAAAACTCCATTAGGAAGTTCCTTGGCCTGAGCATTAATCACAGTCACAGCTAGCCATTCTTTCCTTTAATCATTTTCTTGGATTTAATAAAACCCTGGTAGCCTTAGCTATAAGCTACATTTTTGGTCCGACTTGAAAATATGAGGGGTGGGAGGGAAGAGAATGTACATCAGGCACAACATGACGAGAGCACACATCCCTGAAGCCGTTTCCCACTTTATCAATTAGTGTAGCACATTAGTTAGGTTTTAATCTCCACCCATTCATGAACCTAACTACTGCTCTAGCTTAATTCAGTGCAAAATGTAGTTGCAAGTGAATCACATTTGGAACAATACCTGGAGAAAAATCTAGACAATTCTAGGAGAAAACTGTATTCTGAACTGTGTCTTTGACATCTAAGCATTCTGGCTTTCTTCTTACCTGAATCCATTATAATGGATCCTGCACAGAACAGGAAATAGTGGGTGATATAAGCCTGTTTTCTTCCCTTTAAGCTGCATCCCTCTTAACTCTGCATAAGGATAAATGGGCATCACAACTTCCTGAGCACATAGCGAGCATGCTGGCATTTTCTCCCACTGCATATAATAATCTTATGGTTAAAAGGATTTTCCACTGCTGTCCTGTATATTTCAAATCCATGTCAACTCAGCTAAGGATGAGCCTAGGTAAGGATTAGCTATCACCAACTATCAAACATAGGCAGTATTTTTGGGATAAAATGGCAGAAAGAGAAGACTGTCAGTAAGGGTTGCTTCATCCCCACAAACCAGATTAACATTTAGAGAGACCCAACAAATTGGGAGGAGTTGAAAAGGGCAGCCATCAAATGGGACACTAAAATATTTGTCAGCACAATCTCTTATTATACCAATAAAAAACAAGCACTACTACAGGAATGCTCAGCTTAAGATGAAGCTATTCAGACCTAATCAGATGTGCTTCAGCTGTTCAGCTGTTTTTTATTTTAAATTCACCTCAAATCAAGAGCAAATTCAGTAGTCTGTGTGGAAAATACAGGGTATTTTAAAGCTTACAATACACACAAAATGGGCCACTGTCTTGCAGCCTGCCTTCAGTTATAATTTAAGTCCTGTGAGTAATCAAGACACCTAGGCTTCCGTCTTGGTCTGCTGCCACCAACTGATGCGTAAAGGGACAACTTAAGATGTTAGCCCACAGTGGCTTCAATCCCCTCCTGATCAGAAATCGCTGCGGGAAACTTGGGGGCAGAATTAAAAACAACATTCTAGAAGAACGGATACCCTTTGTGGTTTGTCTCGGATCCTGAAACAACATGACAGTCAGCAGACAAATTCCCGAATACTAAATCAATGAGGTTTTCATAGCCCATCATAAGTCTTGATTATGTGGGAAACTGCTATACAGGTCAAGGAAAGTAGCTATGTTTCCCACCTCCAAGTTTTGGTTTTCTGCAAATTTTCAATGTGTGAACAAGCAGTCAGATTAACACATTTAGAGAATGGACTCCTTTATCCTTTATGTGGTGGGTACGAGATGCACAGATAGGAGCAGCATGTACTTTCAGAGAATGGCTGTTCATTAATATGCTATAACTTTGATATGAACTGATGAAGAAGCAATTCAATTTGGTATCCATAAACCTCTCTGCTGAGGCTGCTAAAAAGGATGCCAATTGTGATAGTGTACTTTGTGATGTGGAACAGCTGCTCACTAGGACCTGAATGGAAAATACCTATTCATTTTGGAAGGGACGCTGAGCAAGCATTAGTTGGTAACAGACCTGGAATGTATTTGAAACTCTCTCAAATTCTGCAGAGATGTTCCTACGCTTCTGCAGCAGTTAATCTGGTGCATGCTTTTTGAACAGATCTCTTTGTACTGAGTGAATTTAAATTCTTTTCATTATGTTACACTGTTAAATTCATCTTATGCTGCCAATATAGAAAAATAGACATCTGTGTACTTAGGACATATCTTTTTTAAAAGCCTGTATATCGTAACATTCTCAATCAAGATATAGAAAACCTATTTAAATTCAGCTTCTTTTATAAATCTGTGTAGGTTAGATTAG